GATAATTGTTGAGATTTTGATAAGCTACCAGCCACACATCTGACAAGCAGCCAGACTGCCTCCATCATATTCCCTCCGAGGAAGAAAAAAAAATATTTACAGAGAGCAGATTTTAAAACTGTTCTGGTTAAATAAGTATGCAAACACTCACCTGTGTTGCGTTAGTCCCAAAAGTTAAGGCAGCTTGTTTTGCTCTTGATTTGGCTTTGTGTGACATCATAGTTGCTGCAGTGAGACAGGAATAGAAAAAAAGAGGAGGATTTGGATGTCTTTCCAGGTTTTTCACTAAGATGTAATATTTTTACAGTCTATAAGCACCATGGACCAATTACTGGTGTCAGAGGTATACAAAGTTTTAAAAAGTTTGAAAAGTTAAAAAACAAGATTTTGAACTATGTATTCCTGATAATGTCCTCATATTAGCATAATGTGTTAATTCTTAACATCTATTCCTCATTCACAGGCTTCAGCAAATCAAGTGTTGCAGAGGAGGCTGAAATCATTTTAATCAGATGTGCTGGAACAGAGATACATCTAGAACATGTAGGACAGGGGAGATGAGGACCAGGGTTGGGAACCACTGTCCTAAATGACAAGAAAAAATCCTTACAGATATGCTTAAAGGCACCTCTGTTTGGCTTGATAGACTCTTTGGCTTGACAATACACAGAAAAGATAATCATCAGGTGGCGAGAGTTCATCTGCCAGGTTCTTAAAAGCTCAGCAGGTGTGGAGTCTGCAGCAGGTTGGCAGGAGTAGATTAATATGGTGCATAGACAAACCAACATGGTGCATAGTGGTGCAGCTGGGGTTTGGGGTTTGTCTGCATGGAGTGTTCGTGTTCTCCCTGTGTGTGCATGACCTCTTTCCAGGTGCTTTGGCTCCTTCCCACAATCCAAAAATCTTACTGCTAGGTTAGTTATAGTGTCTCTGAATTGACCTTAGGTGTTTCTGTGCATGATTGTTTGCCTGTGTGTCTCTGTCCATAGTGTACCCTGACTCTTGCCTAATGGCCACTGGACAGACGAGTTGTCAAAGGATGTATGAATGGATCTTCAGGCTATTCAGTTAACAACCCATCCAACGTTTTTTTTTTGGGCGTCTCTCGATTTTTCCATTGCAACCATTTCATTGTTTATGTTTTGTCTGAGTATTCAGTTGAGTAAAGAGGTGAAGTTGACACTTTTTGGTGATTTACAATGGAAATGATATATGTATATAAATCCTGGGAACATCAAGGGTGCATATTGTCTCTATCATGTACACTAAAGACTAACATCTTCATCTGCTGATGTCCATATCACTACCTTTCTGTAACCTCTCACAAAGTCACAACAAGTTCTCTTATCTTTAACTGAAGATATATTCAATTGAAGATTTATATATATACGACATGAAGTAAGATTTTAGCACCAGATTTCCAACATGATGTGGAAAACATAGCAGATAGATGATCGACTGAAGGATGATATAAGCATAAATTTGCAAAACATTAAACTCCAATAGTTCACTGTACATTAATAATCTGGAAGAACACTGCCATCTAGTGGTATTTGGTTCAAATTACAATCACGTTTGGTCCCTATCAATAATGTTCTGGCTTTTTACCCTTCCGGAATCAGCAATTAATCGTTTCTACAAATAATGTAGGACATGAAAGTAATGACAGTTTGACTGCTTGTTTTACAACTGAGAGGAATCTGTAAAATTGTAACTTTAAGATGGCTAAAAAAAAGTAAGTCATCTATCTATCTATCTATCTATCTATCTATCTATCTATCTATCTATCTATCTATCTATCTATCTATCTATCTATCTATCTATCTATCTATCTATCTATCTATCTATCTATCTATCTATCTATCTATCTATCTATCTATCTATCTATCTATCTATCTATCTATCTATCTATCTATCTATCTATCTATCTATCTATCTATCTATCTATCTATCTATCTATCTATCTATCTATCTATCTATAAAAACATGCATATGGGATGTTTTCTATACAAATGCTTTATGCAGAAGACACAGGTGGCAAATCTTTGAATATTCACCACTAGAAGAAAACATTGTACATTTCACAGAACATTGCCGGCAGATTATTTACTCAGAATTGTAAAAAGTGCTCATACCGAAAGTTCCCAGCGATCCTCAAGCTGGGCCAAGCCCTCAAATTAACAGTAATTGCTGCGTGTGCACTCAGCTGCTTCAAAGCCTATGGTTTATTCAAAGAACCGATGTTGTACTACTGACGCATGAAGAGGTGGAAGTTTGTGGGTATCGCACTGTAGCTTTGGTTGACATTGAGATTGCTGATTAATGAACAAAGCTATTTTATTCATTACATTTTACAGTAGTGGAGGTAAAACAAACATCCTGTGTGGTGAAAATAGAAACATTGCATATCTTATCATTTTGGTGCAAACACTGCTCGTCCTTATAGGGGTGGTGATAATGGATGCAGTCACCCTTGTAAAATAAGAAACGATGCTTATTTTATTGCATGTTTTCTAGACAAAAAGAGGAGTTTACCGTTTCTAGAGGCTTATAAAATTCCCCAAAACTACTTAACATAAGATTACATCAGATTTTGTCTTGACATATATACACCTGTTTCCATCCCCAAAGTCAAGACATTGTCACTCTTTAAAGATAACATTTAACTTCATACTTTTGTAAATGCTTTGTATTTTATTACATTGAGAACTGCTTTACACATACACCAACAGCCTACCCCCTCTCCTCTCTCTCTCTTACACACACACACACACACACGCACACACACTCTTTGAAGTATGAGAATGAAAGGTCTGGGTTAATTATATCTACACCTTGAAGTGCAGCTGGAATCCCTATGTGGGATTTTCTAAACCAGATTTTCCACTGCAAAAGGCTGCAAAAAGGTCAGAACTAACCTGAAAAAGGTACAACAAAAGTCTGTCATGCAGGCATAAAGGTCACAAGAGCTCGAAGCAGTTAAGTTTCGGATTCGTCCTATTTACTGCTAACACCAACACCTTTTTTTTTTTTCCAGATAAGCTTCTAAGAAGTGAAAAAAAGCTAAATTCTCTGAACTTTCACACTCACTACGGATCATTAACTGAGGAGTTTCTGTTGAAGCATTTTAAAAAGGTTCTGTATTATTTTGGACGATGCTTAAAATACTGACTGGAAATTGGTCGACAGTTGAGATTATCTCACTTGAGAAGGCAGATGTATCTCAGTTAGTTAGACAATTTAAATACTGTACATATTGATGTATTTGAAGTTGCTAATAAATCCATCCATTTTCTAACACTCTTGTCCTTGTGAGGTGGAGACACCCTGGACAGGTCGCCAGTCTGTTGCAGGGCAACACAGCAACAGACAGGACAAACAATCACACTGTGGGACTGAAGACGGAGTACCCGGAGAGAACCCCCACATGCAGAGGGAGAACATGCACCTGGGCTGGGAATTGAACCCAGGACCTTCTTGCTGCAAGGCAAAAGTGCTACCAACTGCGCAGCCCGGTTTCTAAATTTGAATTTAAATAGTTAAGTTTTCATACATCCACACACTTACGGTGAAGAGTACCAACACCTTCAATGAGGAGGGTAACCCATGAAACGTCATGGCTTTGTAAAGTGGCTGCTCACAGACTCTTGTTTCCAAGCACATGATCGGAAAGTTAAGCGGAAGGAAAAAATGTGGTCAAAGGAAAAGGTGCACCTGCACCAGGGATAACCACAGCCTTGGAGAATTCTTAAAAGAAAAAAAAACACATTTAAAAGTTGTTTGTAGATTGCAAAGTGTGGAGTTTTATTGTTTCAAGGGCCACCACACATAACCCATGAACTTAAAGACTATCGTAATGGTCAAAACCACAGCATTCAGTGATCTTGCAGACACGACACTGTAAGCGTCTTATCAGGGCTATATAGTACTGTTGCAATGTCCTCTTACCAAATCAACAACAGGTTGTGTTTGCCTCCAAGATGTCCACTGATGTACTTATCCATCCTAAAGATGCTATGAAAAAATAGGGTAAATACTGTTAAGTGGGTTAACATTTTGTATTAAAATGATTTCTCTCTTTTTGGCTTGTGATTTTTTAAGTCAGCAACATTTATTTAAAGAGATGTTTACTAATCAAATTACTATAAACTATAAATCCATTAAGGTTTATATTTTGCCCTTTTCTTTGTTTGACTCTAGTAAATACAAGATCTTTACAACATTGAAACACTAAACAGAAGGGTTGCTTTCCTTTAATCATGACTGTGCTGTGCACAAAGTGAAGATGTAATCCTCGAAACATTTGCTTTTAATAATTAATAATAAACGCTATACAGGAGAAATTTGTTTTTGCCCAATTAATAATTTTTTGAAGATCGTTTTATTTTTGGAAAAGTTCAGTCTGCCTGTGTTGGTATCTGTGACTTAGCGGTCAAATGGTTAGATGCTATATGATGGATGGGTCCTTCTTGGTTATGACTGATAAGGCAGTGTATTTTTAACCAATGCTCTTCTGTCTTGTGGAGTGCCACAGGGTCTCATTCGTGGACCTCTAATTATTTTATCGGCTGTCACTTGATAAGATTGTATCTCAGCACCATCTAAGCAGATCATCCACTGCTTAAACGAGCTTTAAAACCAGGTAATAGTGACATTCATCCCAAATTATTGAGAGTAGTATGCGAAATTTTTCGCATGCCTTTTTGTTAAATAAAATGTAAATTAAAATCTCAAAATCAACACTCCTAAATTGTTTATTCTTTAAGGGAGCTCTGTCTTATTTTCGATCAGAAATGTCTAAATGGAAATAAACTCAAATCTAAAGCTGCCAAAAGTATAATTTTGACATTCTTTGTAATGTAATACTTATTTAACATATTTTTTTCTGAAATATCAAACTTTATCATTCTTATGGTGACTAATCACACATACTAGGATGCAATCAGTCAAGCAGGACAGAATCAATTTTTACAATAAATGCAACTTTATTGACAGTAAAAAGTTTTGAAAATATCAAGGAGCACGCAATCTGTAACCGCAAAAACATCTTGGAAAGCGACATGACCTTTTTTTTATTCTTTTTTCCCCCCTAGTTTTATTGAACTAATGAGGCAGTTGTACAATTCGAACTTTGAGGTAAAAGTGTTTTTTGTTATTTTACATCATTCACAAAGGGTTTTTATTTTATTCTTATTTTTTAGAACATTAAGTCTTCACGAGGAGGGAACAAATAAAAACCCATGCCTCGTTTTCACTTCACATTTCAAAAATAATTCACAATTCAGGTAAAAGCAGAAAATGACAAGCACCCATGCTGTTGTCCATTCACACACACAAACACACACACGCATACATATCAAACCCAAGTGCATTTATATATATATTTATATATATCTTTTTTTTTAACTGTTTTCAAGTACATTTTGCTTGCTAGTAGAGAAACTCAGGTTAAACTATAAAGCAGCAAACCAACAATAATAAGTAAGAATACTGAGTTTGGTTTCTTTCGTGTTCCCATATTAACATCATCAAATCATTCACCATACTGTAGCAATAAGGTATTTGGGTGCTAAAAAGAAGCAGGAGGTAACATTTCATGAACTTTGAGGAATATGCTGGATAAGATTTGGAATATAGCTGATTAAATACACCAAGGCAGAAACAAACGACACTAAGTAGATAATCACAAGTGCGATAATAACAGAAGAGATTCAAACTGATTTGCTAATAATTAATCTTTAAATAATTTCTTAAATCACTTACATTATGGAGCTTGTTTAAAATCTCAGCTGCAGCCGCTGAGTGCAAAACCACAAAGGGATTGTTTAAGCTGAGCTGACGGTTCAACCCTCACCGGTCCCGAACCAAGGTGCAGAAGGCCGGCTCCAGTAAAAACTCACCACTCGCCAACCAAGTGGTCAGTTATTGTCACTGTTAAATTCATCAGTGCAGTAGAACAATCACAGGTAACAACTCTGTAAAGCAGTGAAGTGCTTCAGTAAAGACGTTCATATGTAAGCAGGTAACCTATTCTAAAAAGTGCAATCCTGCAGAGAGGTAGAGCACCCTGGGTCCATTCAGTGAGGATCTTATAAGCGACAAAGCTCATGGTCTGATCTGCACCAGTATCTTAAAACTCACTTTTGAAATCTAAAAGCCTACATCATCCTAATTTTGCTCAATGAATCAGCTTCATCCTGAGGCTCTGTTCCACACAGTTAGCTGTGCACTAGGCATGGGCATCGGCATCGATGTGTCTATCTTTTGTCGAAGAGATTTCGTGGCTTAAAGTCGTTTTAATGACATGTCAGAGTTAGTTTTCTGTTTGCATGAATCATAGAGCAGCACTGTGATATTTCCTCCCCCAACCTATTTCTGCATACTGCAGGTCATCTAGCTCAGAAAAGGCACTTCCAACCTTCCATTGTTGACAACAAAGTTTAATTTGATTGTTAATAACAGGGAAAGAAATGGGATGGAAAATACCAGCCCTCCATCCATCACATCTATTAAGTCTTTTATAATTACTAAGGCTGCTGATCATTTCACCCCATCACCGTGTCATGCCTTTGTAGTTTTGATCATTTTGTACCAAAGTTTTGTCATATGAAATGTTGAATTTTATACCTGCCGTTGAGGACGTTTCATGTCCGCTCCGTCAACCAACAACTAAACGTAATTTTCTACATTTTACCAATTGTTTTCTCTAAAACAATGTGATCATAATAAATTATCTCTATTTCAATATTAAACAAAATATCAACTCTAACGACATGCCGCATGTCAGTAGAGTTAAAGAGCCGAAGTGGAAAGAAGAATCAGAATAAATGCAAATATAATGTGACAAGACTGTTTTGCCTAAAATACTGCAGCAAGACGTCTTCATGGTCAGATTTGTTTATGAATTACTAAATGTCATCAATTTAAAAAAAAAAGACAAGTATAAATTTAAGAAACAGTTTTAAGACTTTTTCAGGCCTAAATGTTTTGACTTTTTGACTTTCAAACACACTGCAGTAACATTGTCAATTAACCAGCAAATGTAAGCTTGCCATAGTTCAGTGCTGCTTTATGGAAAGCAAGAGGCCAAAAGCAGAAAATATCAAAATAACAATCAGTTTTTTAAAGAAAATAAACAACTTCATTCAATTTTTCCTTATTTATATCGCTGTCGTCAAAGCAAAGTATTTATTTATTTTTTAAATAAAGATCTGACACTTTTGGTAACCTCATACCGGCCCATCCCGCTTTGCATACTGTTGAACCATGCTGTAAACAATGTGTGTTCCTACAACAGTTACCGCTGTAGGTGTTAAGGCAATCCACGTCTGTGCTTCATCTGTGACAAAAGCTTGTCCCACACTCAGAGGCACACAGCTCTCGGTGCACATGTAGCTCACCTGACACAGAAAGCACCCTCCTCAGCCGCTGAAGCAAAGCTCTCGGTGCGTACTGAATAAAACCTGTTTTTGATAAATGCTTAAATGCTTTCAATAACTGCATGTGAACATGACCTCTTGGATGTGATCGTTTCGAAAATCACAGAGGAGAGGATGGCTAGTCGGGTTTCTTGAGCACCGGTTCTCCACTGTTTCTTTTTGTGTGGGTGTGTGTTTGTGTTGTGTGTGTTCAGAGGAAATCCCCAAAGAAGGCACTTCTGAGGCAAAAAACTGTAGTTTGCCATGCGATTTGATAAGGGAGTGCAATCAGTTACACGATTCAATTTGTCTAAACTAATCTAACTGATGCGTGAAAAAGATTTTTTTTTTTTTGCTCACCTGTGGCATGTAGGATATAAATCCACAGCAAGCTCAGGATTTATTTGACTTAAACTAGGGATTTAAAATAGCTGATCTGGTGCAGAACAAACATGAGCCCACTTTTAGATTATAGCAGTCTACCCCTCCTTGTGCAGCCACTTGTCCTCAGCCCACCTGGTGCTCTCCACGGCTGATGTGAGAGGAAAACTCATAGCGGTCCTGGCTGGGATGCCCGCAGATGTTGCACTCGAAGGGCTGGCGGAAGCCGTGGCAGCCCATGTGGATCGTGTACATGACATGGTCCAGGAAGAGGATGCAGCAGTGCCGGCAGTAGAAGGAGCGCACAGGTCTGCCCCCCCTGTCCAATACTTGGAAATTGTTCCTGGAGGAGAGAGGCGAGCCTGGGTTTCTCTTTGCAACACCCGGGAGAACAGGACCCCCTCTATCCCACTCTGCGTCCAAATCTTTGGCCTGGCTGGGGCTGATCGTGGGATGGCTGCGGGGCAGCGCTGGGGTCAGATAGTGGAGGTGATGGTTGTTGGAGGTACTTGTAGGGGCTATAGCCCTTGTGCTCTGCTCTTCCGGTGTGCTCTCTGTGTCCGTAGAGTCGGGGCAGCCGTTGGGCGAGGTGGTGTGGCTGTGCGCCGAGGGCTGGTCGTCCCGGCCTTCGCCTGCCTCCCGCCCATGGAGGCCAAGGGACGTCGCTGCGAGCCCCACCGTGCCGTGGGCTCGGGGGCCCTGGGGAACCACGCCACTGTTGAAGGAACCCACAACAGTTCGGAGCTCTGCCACGAACCCGGGATGGAGCGGAGGCAGCGAGGGCAACTCCTGGCTCTCGGCTTTACTTCTTGCGAAGTGGAGGTGTGAACTAACCAGACCGGATGAGTCCCCAGCAGAATGGGAGCTCAGGAGATCCCCTTCCTTTTCAGAGCCAGAGGACAGTTCATAAGGTGCTTCTGGTGCTTCAAGGTGCATGTGCTTTTCTCCTGCAAAAGAAATGAGGCACTAATAAATTCTGTTCAGAGTGGAACTTCACACAGAGTGATAATATCTGATGCCTAGCAGTTCTTGACTTTTTATAGGAAGTCAATATCTGCCACCCAGCACTCTAATGCTGGGATGCAGAATTGATTCCTTTAATCATTCAATTCAAACGTATTCAATCAAGTACAGAGCATCAAACAATGTTGCAACTGTCTCTTTGTTCATAGGCCATATGTAATAGAAGCCACAAAACATAAGGAAATTTACAGTTGCTTAGATGGACAGTAAAAATCTCTTACAGAGAGAGGTTTTATCGTCAGATAAGACAAAATATTAAGCTAAAAGTTATTTACGGCAAAGAAATTGTGAGGAGTCAATTTTTTGGCTTTCAAACAAAACAACATTGAGTTCTGTGTCAAGTGTGGTGATGACATAATGATGCGGAGGGACTTTTTCCCTCTCAATAATGCTATTATATCCAACAAAGTGAATGAAATAATACAGGAGGACTACCTCTAAATTCTTCCATTTCACTTCTGCTTGATGGCTAAAACAATCATCCTGTTCCCACAGGATGATCCAAAACTGATTTGGGAGCAGATGAAGCAAGCTAACATCGACTTTTGGAACGACCTTGAGCTCACGTTCATAAGAAGAAATACGGTCTATCATTTAAAGCCAGGTCTATCGCAGAGATCTAATCGATCTGATGGAGCTCTCCCATTTCTGCTAAGTCAAGTGGTCAAAAATCTTGTCAGAATTATGCTACAAGTTTGTTTTTGTTACTATCATATTGTTATTATTGGGATGAGTGAATATCCTTGACCCAGTGACCCATATTTTGAAAAAGAAAATCCACCTCACAGTTAATCACGTCCTGGTTTTCAAATTGCATTGAGGTGGTTGTACAATCAGAAGACACATCTGTCAACTGCAATATAAAACGTCCACAATTATATTTTCATGCTGTTGATGAGAGTACGCAAACATTCGACTGGTAAGGTAAATGCGAGGCATAACACTGTCAAACAAGCTCACCCAAAAACTTCTGTGGTGTTGACCTCTTTCGTTTGGTTATGCTGACAGTCAGTCTATCCAGAAACGGCCTTTTCTCATTGGACGGCTGCAGTGCGGGTTTAGTGATGCTCTCCATATTTACGGACTCTTCCCCTGCACAGGGAGAAGCCCAAGTTCAAAAACACTGACATGTGAACGACTATATGTTAATTCATGAAGGATCTGGGTTTCTTCTATGTAGAACGTGTTACCAGGTGGCATCTGAGAGTCCAGAGTCTTCATGTAACTATGGCAGCGCTCCAGATGTTCCTCCAGCGTGCTCTGCTGCTTATAGCTGCGACTACAGTAGCTGCACTTGAAAGGTTTCCCCACTGTCGGGGAAGAAACTGAAAATCAGAGGGAAAACATTTTAATGATTGCTTGTCGAGCCAGAGACGTAATAAATCAATAACAAATGATTCTATTCGTGACAGAGAGTTAGAGATTTTGTGCATCTATTATAGGGGATTTTTACTGACGAAGTAGCACCGATATCTTGGCTTACGAGACTGGATTTTCCCTTCGATTAGAAATTCCTGAGATCGATATTTGAAGCCCGAAAGTGACGGTAAAGGAACCACCTAACCCCTCACCGCAACCTTCCAGTTTGGTGAGCCATCGGAAGCGCTGACGTCAATTCACTGTAATCCGGTTCGCAGCGATTGTTTCTCTGTAAGTGAACCTGTGCGACCCGCTCACATCCAGCCAGAACTATTACATCAACACTGTATCTGAACACCTGCTGTTCACGTATGTTCTCAAAATTGAAAGCGCACTCACATGATTTCCTGTTTTTAAATCTGCAAATGTCACGTTTTTTTTTTTTTTTTTTTGTTACAGAAAATTGTGATGAAGACCTACTTCCTTTGAGTTTCAAAGAAAGGAGAAATGGACCAGTCTAGTAAGTGTACCCACTTGTAGCACTCTTTTACTTGGTTATACACCAACATCAATTAAGTTCAATGCCCAAAAGGATACAGGAACTGTAAAGTGGAAGGAACATGATACAAATAAAAATCTGAAAGGTGTTGCGTATTCATCTCTCGTTAATCTGATAACATAAAACATAAATAATTAGGTGCAAAAAATAGGCTTCCAGCTCACGTAGAAGTATCTGCCAACAGGACAACTGTTAGTTGAGCATGCCACAAACTCAAGCAGCGAGAAGTTAAGATGCTGTTCGCAACAGGTAACATCGCACGCCAAATGACTCACACAACTTCAGTCCTAAAACATACCGGCGAAAGCTTCATGGGTTTTTTTCAGCAGGGACAGGAAGGATAATCTTCGATGGGAAGATGCAAAAGACCAGAGAATGGAACAGACGTCCACTTTCCAACAGGACAACGACCCAAAATGTACAAACAGACTGCTGATCCAATGTGTCCTATAATTTCAGTCCCTACATGAAAAGCAGGTGGAGACATTGTCACAAACAAGTATCAGTTCTAATTGCATCAAAAGATGGCTCTCTGAGGCCTTGATCCGAGTGGAACGGATGCAAATGAATGTCACTCTTTCAAGAAGTGAGACTTTGCTTGATTGACTCTGTGGACAGTAAAAAAACAATGAAAACCTTGCTTTGAGGTTTTATTGTGCCTTTATTTGAGTGTTTATACAGGAAAGTGAGTAATGAGAGAGGGGGCGGGCATGCAGCAAAGATCATCACCACTCAACTCTTTGATGGCCCTGTTGAGGACTAAGGCTTCCTGTATAAGTTGTGCTTTGCCCCTGCGCCACCAGAACACCCCATTGAAAACCCTTTTTTTAACAAGCTTTTATGAGCTGAAGGCTGATTCTGGCTCAAGTGTTGAATTGTATGTGGATACAGAATTTGGAGGTCATTACATTCATAGGCCAGGGGGGGGAAAAAGCAGAAACTTATGTCAATTTAGCTTTGCTACAAGAGAACTCACTGATTTACCTGAATGAGTGCGCAGGTGACCAGCGAGAGCATCTCTCCGACGGCAGGCATAGTTGCAGACGGGACATTTGAAAGGCTTCTCTCCTGAATGAAGTTTGATGTGGCGCAGCAGGTTGCCCTTCTGGGTGAAAGAGGCTCCACACTGGTTGCACTGAAAAGGTCGCTCACCTGCAAACATGTGTGTGGATGCTTGGGTTGCATTCATCTGTTTATCAAGTGTTAATGCCTGCGACGCTTGATCGCGATCGCCGTTGCCAGCGGCTCGTCTCACCTGTGTGACTGCGCTTGTGGACCATCAGCACATTGGGTCCAATGCAGACCATCCCGCACACCTCACACTGCAGCTTCCCGTTGGGCAGTCGGATCGGTCCCGGCGAGGACGAATTAGGAGTAGCCATCTCACTGTAGACACTCCCTCTGTCTCCTCCGGTTCCGGCAAATGCTGGTCCTCCTTCGTCAGCAGGACCCACCCTGTCATCTTTCCCACCGTCGCTCCTCGCAGCCTCTTTGTTCTCAGACTGTCGGGCACCTGAAGACTCCTCATCGCTACACAGCTCAACCTTAATGGAATCTGTTTTTTGTTTGTTTGTTTTTTTATTTAAAATGAAAGGTAGAGGAAAATGCATTAACTTGAATACATGCTTTAAATACAATAAAACGCTATACATACTATGAGACTGAAATCATTTTAAGTGAGGCGAAAGCTGACCACTTAGGGAGCGGTGAGGCGAAGACTGCTGGCTGTTGGGAGATCTTACAGAAGTGGCCCGCAACCCGGCATATAAATCCTGCTCTGCTGATGATTCTCCTCCATTACCTGCAACACAAATATATTGTAGTAAAGTCATCATAGCAAAGGGTGCACTGATTTCTCTTTCAAGTCCACTGCACTCTGAAAAAAATTATTCAATTGTTCCTTCATATTCACATTGTGTCTTATGTTTCTTCCTCAAACTTTCTTAAAATTGTAGAACATTTTTACTCTTACAAAATATCTTTACCCAGTATTTCTCTGAATAACAAATGTTTAGCTCTGATTCTGATTTTATTCGGTTTTTACCCAATAACTGTGCATTTTTAAGAGATTTTTTCATTTATTTGTTGTCTACAGATACAACAGCTGGACTACCCCTTGGCTCTGTTTTAGGGTTTATTTTCCCCCTTTTCATTTATATATATATTTTTTTATTTTTGTTTTTATAATTTTTACAAAGATGACATTCAACTGTATCACATTCAAAATTACAAACTGGTAATAAAAAAAAAACTTTAAAAAAATATTTTGAATTCTGAAAAGAACGCATGTCTCTTATCGTTGCCCCAAAGAGCAAGGACTCTCTGAATAGGCAAAAGATTATGCTGTTAAGCCAAACTTGAAGAATTTCGGAGTTGCTTTCAATCAATGTCTCTTGAAGGTCGCTCAACGTGTCCGAAAGAAATTTAATCATTTAAATATCTCCAAACTGAGAAAGTTGGCATCGACACATTGCATTGATATGCCTACAAAACTTAAATGTTTCCCTGATGACGCATAATTTAGGTCAGGCGTTTGCTGGATCCTCTCTCACTTCTTAAAGATTTGACTTCCTGTTACTGTTCACCAGCAGTAGATTTGTTTCATTTATTTAGCACTAATTCCCCACAAACGCTAAAGGCACATCAGCAAACAGGTCCAGTTCACATCTAATTAACTTCTTGAATTCAGAAATCGCAGTTAACCGCTTATCCCCTATTTGTCCTCAAACATATTTTTTAGGCTAAACTGTCCAGCAATGTCCATAAATTAAATTGAAATCTAGAAAAAAAGGACCAAAACCCCCAAAAAGAGAAGGATTTTGAAAAAATTCTCCAACTTAGAATTAGAATCAAATTTTAAATAGATTCAAAAGAAACTTTTTTTTCAGTACCAAACACACATATATATGTATAAATATGTATAAATGTTTAAAATTACCTTGTGAATATGAGCGTCCATTACATTCATCAGCATTCATTCTCTCACCAGATGCCTGTAACAATAAAACAAGTTTCAATTCATAATATTTTCTTTAAAAAAATAAAATAAAATATTTTTAAAAAGGGATTAAAAATTAATACCTTTGCTATAGTTAATAAAATATACTAATCAATTGGTAGATGCAAACGCAGAACACTTTTGGCTTTCAGATCTGATTGTCCGATATCAAATTCACTTAAAAAAAAAAATTTCTTTTTAAATCTAAGTTCTATCTGACTGTTTCTGTGTTCTGGTGAACCTCCTCTGTCTAACAAATAATAATGAAAGGCCTGACATTTATAGAAATCGTCTGGTAAACAGTGTCAAAGGAGGAGCTGAAACCAGCACAAAAAAGGTTTAGGGGGTTACAGGGCAAATGAAGAGTATTTTCAACATGAGTTGACACATTAGTTAATTGGTGACATATATTAAGAAGTAGGTTCTTTAAGCTACTTTAAACTTGAAAATGTAAAAATTTTGACCAGTTTACCGTTTTTGTCTTAATGACAGGTAAACATGATGTTTGCCGAAAGATGTTTTTCAATGAGTATAGGAAAAAAAAAAATCGATCAGGGATGGATGGATTAATGGGAATTACTGCATAAAATTTTATTCATGCAGTATAAAATTTAATGCATGAGTAAAGTTCTTACACCATTTAGTGCTATTGAGAAAAAAAAGTTATCATTTCAGTTACTTCAAGAATTTGTGATGTTTTCACAACCTGAGAAGGCCTGGAAGGTGGTGCCTGTGGTCATCGGGGCCCTCGGGACAGTAACCCCCAAACTGGAGCAATGGCTACAACAGATCCCAGGAACAACATCCAGACACCTCAGTCCAGAAATGTGCAGTCCTTGGCACAGCCAAGATACTGCAGGTCCTCTTTTTCACATTTTATCATTATTGCAATAAGTTATTGCAATAAATGCCACAACTTATTGTGATAATACTTTCAAAGTCCATATCATTCATCTCTAATGGTGAGATTTATTCCTTCAGTATATTCAGGTTTAGAACATAATTGATGGTTCCATCAGACATGACAAGTTGCCTTGGTTCTGGATCAGTAGAGTATCCTAAGACTGTCACAATTTTGGACTGTTTTGTTGACAGACTGATTGATCTCAGAGATATTGCTTCTGATCTGTTCTTGAAAATCTTTGGATGCGTTGCCGTTAAAGAGCTTCTCACTTATTTCATGATGTCGGAGAAGATTTTTTTTTTTTTTTAAAGGGAGTTTGTGACAGTTGAGACTTGATTTAACAAAAGGAGGAAATTCGTCTTTTAAAAAAAAGCCTGCCTTGGTTTGGTTAGAGTTATTACTTTAATAACCACTTTTTACATGTACTGAGGTCATCCATGATCTGAAAACTTTAGGTGTGACATAAAAACCAGAACAGAAGGTATCTGAACCAATATCTTTTTACGGCAGTGTGACTTGAAAAGCAAAACAATTTGGCTCTAAGCACATCATTTTCCAATTGCAGATTCCTTTTTAAGACCAAATCCTTGTTTTCTCTTTAGTCCAAATTGGCATTAGATATTTAATGGTTATCTAAAAGGCCAGCGGAGCACAAGAAACTTTTCGCAAGTTTTTAAATTTTACTGTATTTTTATTTATTTATTTATTTTTATGTGAACCAACCTTCGTTTTTATGGTTTAACATGGAAGGAGCCAAGACATTTTTGTTAACAGTGCAAGGTGACTAATGTCAGAGGAAGTTTTTGAAATATTTTTGTTTTTATTTCCTCTATTTTAATATTTTGATCTAAAATGAAACTGTTTATTAAGATTAAACATTATAGTAAACAATTAACATTGCTCACAGACTGGTTTGTTACCCTCTGAAGTTTTGAATAGCCTTCTGACTGTGAATTGTTTCGTTTTCTTCTGATAACAACCCAGGTGTGAGAATAACAGACCTTTTATTAGTAAGGAGCTCCAAACATGCACTTGAAGTTCATTTTGTGTCTTTTAAACATTCGTGGAGTTTTAAAGTTTTGTAGAGCTAAATAAATATCAAAGACGTTCTGAAAATTGTCACCAAAAGACCTCAACATCTGAACCAGCCAGAGCTGAAGTCTTGCTTGAGGGGAATCCTCAGAGACTGCAAAACACTCATATTTTAACATAGAAATAATCCTTTTTTGTTGTTGTTTAAGGCAGTAAAACATGACTGCCATCAGTGTTCACAACGGACAGGAGATTAACTTTGTTCGTTTATTTGAAAGAGCAACTGCAGTTCCCAGCATAGGAAAACAACTCAAACCAGATGTTGCATTTACTCTAACTTATGCACAACACACCTTGTAGAAATAAGGAAGAACTTTTCTCAGTGAAATTTAACATAAAATAACTTAAACAAAGCAAACAGACACTTCATATAAGCCAAGTCCTTAGAGCTGGTTCAGTGTGATTAAGTGTACTAATCATATCTAAATGTTTTATATTATCTTGAAAGCTCAAATTGGAACTTGTACATATCAAACATGCTATTTTTACTTTAGTATTATATTATATTATATTATATTCATTCTGATTTTCAGATTTTTGTTAGTTAAGGTTAAACAGGTCTTTCACCCATTTGTCACCTGTTCCTACTCTGTCCACCTCCTTCATGCATAATTGCCAAATAATCAACAACAAGGGGTATACAGTGCACGTTACATAAAACAGTTATCCAATAACCAAGTGACACAGATAGACACACCGAGACCAGACACTTTCTTGCCGACTTACGTTGTCTTTAGACATAGCCGCCAACATGTTTATGTTCACTGGGAGCAGACGGAGCTCTCACGTCAGGAAACGGAAACGGACCACGATGTACAAGGCGGCAGCACCTCTCGCTCAAATGGATGACAACAGTGGACATTGACTTTGGAGAGAGGGGGAGGCGCAGACTGCACATCTCAGGGAGAATTAATATCCTGGCATTGGCCGCGCATGGGGAGCAACAGGCGCCGCTGCAAGCCGGGGAGACGCACCGGCCACACCGGGGCACGGCGATTCAAATAAAATAACAGAGCTCAATTTGAAAAAAATAAATGAATTAAATTAAAACAAGGGGACGCGCATCGGCACCAACCCTTGCCTTATAATCCTTCCTGGCCTTCAGATTGTCGAGTATGCATTGGATCATATATGTTTCCAGATAAGTGTCATGCCTCACTCTCTCTCTGCCTCTCTCTATCTTTCTCTCTCTCTCTTTCAGAGCATCCGCGGCTACTTGTTTTAGCCTTCTCGGAGGATTTCTGGTCCGATCAGCTCACGCGCGGCTCCAGACGGCGGCGAGACGCGGCGGCGGCGGCGGTGGAGTGTTGCACGAGTTGCGACCGAGCGAATTGTCCGCATGAACGCAGCTGTCATCCAACACCGAGCGCGTCAAAAACCGACCTGGGCTATATGTTTCTCACGAGCCGTTGCTATGGCACCCGACCACACGACAAATGGCATTCACCCGCAGCAACTATTCAAAAACACGCCGATCAAGCGGCGGCGGCGGCGGATGGGCGGCGGAGTCCTCGTCCTTACCTGCAGGTCGATCGGTGCGCTCCTTCTTTAATTGTCTGCCTGGTTGTTTGTTTTCCCCAGCGACGGCAGCATCCCTGGGATCTTTTTTTTTCTTCTGTCTTCCCTTCTTTCTTTTTTTTTTTTCGTCTTTTTTTTTTCACCTGAAACCCAAACAACTTCCGGGCCCATGCTGGGATACAGACAGGAGCTGTTGATCCAGTGATTGTCGAATGCATCGATACGCACACAGGACACAAACAATATGTTGACGCTCATAGTTTTAGAACAACACAGGCTCTCAGAAATGACACCATCACAGTGAGAAAGTGTGTTTTGAGCGCCGACAGTCTGGCAGACCAGCAATACGTTTTACGTAAAGACCCGAAATGTGAAATATTATAATTTTTTTTATTATTTTCACTTATCTTGATCATTATAAACACTTATAAGTGAGCATGTGTAGTACCTGCTGATTCCCCCCGATAATGACAGCAGGTAAAAAAAAAATTGTAATGACGTTGTTTCTTTTATTACATTTGTACCACAAGATGGCAGCAAATTGCTGTTTTTCACATAATCAAACAGGTGTAAAATTCTATTGTATTAAGCAAAGTACAATTTTGTTATGAATTGACTGATGTTCAGGTTTTGAGAAAAATATTCATGACAGAAATGCATTTAATAAATTTAAACAGCATGGCTTTGTACAAACAGCTCCAAATAACTGATCTGACCTTTCTGTTCTACATTCTTTTGAGATCTAATAGAGAAAACATTTTTAAATCACCCAGCAAAACAACAGAATTAAAGAATCATCTTACCTTTTGCACTTCTGAAACAAATACCTGCACAAGTCTACAACTCTTCAAATGAGTGTGAAGTCAAAATAAAGTGATAGGAGGCCATACAAGTTGTTGCATCTCTCTGACTGACAGGAAACATAATTGCATCAAGAGATTATGCCAGATGAAAAATCCATCATTTAGTATGTGTTAGCAATATACTTTAAAAGATAAAGCAAGTATACTGTCTATACTTGTTTTATGTTAGGTTTAGTGTCACAGGAGAGCTGGTTTCTATGTCTGCTGGGCAATAGTAGACATACAGAATACAACATGTGCAAGAGACAAGTACTTCACAGTGCCATAATAGAAACAGGTGTCACAAACAGCCATTCATACCTGCATTCAGACCTTTGTGCAATTTAGAACCTGCAATTAACATAAATCTTTCCTAATCAGAAAGTTCTAAAAATCCACTAATAATAAAAACCCATCAAGGTAGATTTCAAAGCACGCTTCCTTTCAGAACACAGAACTGAAAGAAATAATGAGGACGAAATGGGATTTGCATGCAGAAAGGCCCAAATGTGAATCCGCATCTAGAACATGAAGATGAAGTCAGAATGTTATTTGGTGCCATGCCAATCCACTGGAACATGTGAAGCTGCCTGCCTGATAAAAAGTAAATTTCCCAAATTTCCAAACATATGGACAATGTAGAGACAGGTCAATTTGCCTGGAAGGCAGCAAATGCAACAGTGGACATTGAGATTTTAGACACTTTTCTTGTCCCATCAGTCCACAAGGTCACAAAGTGATTTGTCATGGATCCACAAACAGTTCTTTTTTAAAAACTCAATGATGGCCAGTCTGTAAGAAAAATAACACTACTATTTGAATCTCTGGGGTTTGTGCCATCGCATCAAGACCTCATAAGCTTCCTGGACCTTCATGAACATTTTCTCAGCGTCGTTGTTAGGGTTGTGGTCTGGATGCCAGGTCTTGGCCAGCTCCCTGTAGCTTCGGGTTATTTCCTCAAGAGACGCCTCTGTCTCCAATGACAACACCTGGCGTACAAGCGTTCAAACACAAAAGAGATTGTCAACCAGGAACAGGGTATGGACATATTAACTCATCACTCACAGGCTGCTCACCTTTAGTGCCTCCTTTTCTCTCTGTGTGTACTCTTTCAGCAGTATTTCCAGCACTTTCCTCCAAGCCTCTTCATGGTACCCCCCTCCAGTCAGTGCACACAGGATGCGGTATGGCATTAAAAGAAAGTATTCCAGCACACTTCTGAGCCAAGGCAGGAACCAGAAAATATCCAGCAGTGCAGCTATTGAGTCAGACAGGTAATACAGTGTGGCTGTGGTGTTGTAAAAAAAACAATAACCCAATGGAGCAGAGAAGGCAAGCCAAGCCAGACCAATCCTGTAAAGCCGTGGACCTGAACGAAACACGGAGAAAATGTAGTTTCGGCTGAGTTTTGTAAATTCAAGTGAGAGATCTTTGAGTATGTAAAAGAGCTCACCTAGTTTCTGCTGGCTGCCAGGGGCTTTCGGCGGTTTGAACCTGCGGTGCTGTGAAGCAGTGATGCTAGCAGCCAAGCTTATAGGAAGAGGTGAGAGAGAGCTGCCGTAGAATATCGGTGATGTCACCAGACAGGCAGTGAGGGTTTTTTGGAGATCTGCAGTCTGTTGACCAACATTGGACACCAAGTGAACCCCTGCACCCACGCTTAGGGGCAGAACGATCAAGTAGAAGAAACTGAGGGAGTTCAGTCCAATGAGAGCCACCATGCCAAAGTAGATCCCAACACACACCTGCCCAGCAAATCTGACAGGGCTGACAGGTGGGAGTCCCTCTTTGGGAGGCCATCTTTCTTTTTCTGTATCTCGATTTGCCTCGCTGACGTAAGCTGGAATACGTATGAACTCTCTTGCCCAGCCAAAGCCAAAACCTCCCAGAGTTATCATCCACAGCAGAGCGTGGCTGTCTCTCCCTAAGTAGAGATGGTGAAGACCTAAAGGCCCACCCATTGCCCAAAGGGCGTAGGCTACTAGGACTCTTTTCGCCATACTGTTGCAGCAGTGGGTCAGTTCCTGCTCTCGTGAGCTGTCATCCTTGTTTAGTTCCTGCAATGGAGTGACAGAATTATGTCTGCTTTCACTTTTGAGAGTGTTTTAAAGATTGTTATTAAGAAGGACTGAGTTTATTTTTTTATTTTTTTTATGGGGGGAGGAAGGGTCTAACCCGTGTGAGCTATTCCGAAACTCACATGATGCCACATGTCGTGATTTCCTGATCTTATCTGCCAGCTGTTCCAGTCATTTCTGGCAGAAAAGTCAGAGTGATTTTTAATCTCTGTGATTCATGTCCCTGCTTGGATTAATGTTACATAAATGGGGTTTGTTTTAGCTCATAATCATCAAGCCATTTACTTTGACATCCCCAGAAACTAATACAGTGGAAAAAGAATCATATGATTTCTCTAAGTAGACTGAAAAAAAAAAAAAAAAAAAGATTTCAACCAATTTTCTCTGTTCACCACGACCATCTGTTCCTTTCACATATTTAGTATTGGCTTTGTGTCATAAAGGCTGTTTTACTTACGTAGTCCTTAGTTTAAAAATCCTTATCCTGAAAAATCCTTTTCAGTGCTTTCCGCTGTTGAAGTCGCAGCACGTTGTTGCAACAGTTGGACTTTGGATCATGACAATAAGATTACACAGCCGCCTAGATATGGAACGTCATAACGACGGGTGGAATTAAAACAAAGTGCTTGATGAACACTTTTTAAAAACAGGATGCTAATGTTATAAGCTTTGAATATTTTTAATTTATTCAAAGCCTTGATGTTGACTGAGACAATTCAGTACATTCAAAAATAGTTTCAAATGTTTTCCAGTGATAAAAATAAGAAACACTTGTTAAAGATGCAGCTGATTAATCAGCAATAATAAAATGTAAAACATTCTACAAATCAAGAACGATAGAATTATGCGTATTGCTTCGTTTGTAAGGCCTTGGTGTGTTGAAAAGCAGAGGTTTTCTGCTGCATTGTTCCCTTGTTTTACTCGCAGAAACAATGAGTTTCTGACCAATGTCCCTGAAGTCCAGATTCTGACTGGGAATTCAAAGCTCTCCAAATAAGCCTCATCTTACCTTATAATATGTGTCAATTCCCATGCATATGAAATGTATTGAAAGAAGCTTATTTAAACAAATTTAATCTGTGGCATCCATGCTGCAAAATATTTATTTGAAATTTTTCATTTTAGGGTTTGAAGTGAAACATTAAAAAAAACACAAGTTTTTATCAGCGAATATATATTTTAGTAGTACCATCACAACAATTGATAAACCCACTGGTTTTCATTTTCTGGCTCGCAACCTGGAGAGGGAGGCTTAATTTCTAGATCTGACTTCCGACATCCGAGACACATTGATTCAATTTGGTTCAATTTCATTTTATTCAATAATATTTTATTGATCCCAATATAAAATTTGATTAATAATCCTTATTATTCAGGGTTCATTTGCGACAGCAGCCTGTCCTTAATTAGATTTGAAGAAGTCGATCCATGAAGTCTCTCTATTCCTAGATTGTTGTGTTGCATAGGAGATTCCTATGGTTCTCTATGATGTTTTTTTGTTTTTCATTTCAGAGCGATTCATTTGTAGCACAATCAGCTCTGGAAACTCCAGAACAACTCTCAGAACTGAGGCAGCCTCCTTTATAAGGTCACTCATTATCCTAGTTTTATAAGAAAATGCATGTATGGATGGATGTAATAAAGAAGATGCTTTAAACTTTATGTTTTAATTCTTTTAGCAGTAAAAATGTCATAGGTGGGTGGGGGTGTGCAAAATTCCAAACACAAAAAGTAACAAATGTCAAGCAGATTTCCTCAAACTATTATGGTGTAAATAATTATGATACATAAATTCGTTATTTTCAATTCAAATATCATCTTACTACTAGATACGCGCTTTTTTTTTTTTTTTTTTTTTTTTTTTTTTTTGCTACTAAGATAGTAATGCACAGAACATCCGTGCCCCTGAAAAAAAAAACTCTTTAAGTTTAGTTCTGATTGAAAGCTGCCTTAACCAATCAATGGGATCCATTCTGGTGTTAAGCCCCGCCCCTAGCGGCCCCGCCCCGCCCGGTTTTGATCAGGGTCGCTGTATCCGATTTTTAAAACTCAGCGCTTCCAACCAACTGATACATCTGCTGCTGACTCGCGACGATGCGCCCGGTTCGACATTTTTAACCAGAACCGGCCCTCTCGGCGGCTTCCGGGCGCAGGGCAGTGGCATGGTTTTTAAGAGGATGGAAACGGACGAAGTGTCGATTAGGGAGCAACTTTTCCACAACCGCGTCCGAGAGACGATAGTAAGTGAAGCCGGGCTGAAAGTGAAGCGTCAACCGTTGGTTGACGAGTTAAAGGGGGGCCGGTCGCAGTCAATATAGCATGCTGTCTTTGCACACGCTGTTAAATGGGTTTGTGTCAGTATCTCTCTTAAATTGCATTCGTTTAACCTGAATTATTATTTATTTTTTTCATTTTTAGTCACGTTCACTTTATTCGCTACAAGACAAATGCAGCCATAGCGGTATTGCATTATTGCCTGTTTTAGCCCCGTGTGTATCATTTTCTGGAACTGTGCTGCCTGCTCTTTGCGTCTGACACTCCAATGTTTAAAACCACACCTCGCGTTGAACTTCAGACTTCGCAGTTCGATCTGCTCTGTTACAGCAAGGCAGAGAACTTTACCCCCGATATAAAACGTTCAGGTCTCTCTCCCCCCCATTGACAGATCCAACCCTGAGAGTTGAGATGTTGTTGATACACCAGTTTATCAATGAGGACAATGTTGAACTTGCAGTTTTGCTCAAGTTTGTTTATTTCTGTCAGGGCTTTTCATCCCAAGGTATGAAGTAATGAGCAAAACCTATGCAGATGCATGACCATTATATAATGTTACAGAAACACACACACACACACACACACACACACACACAACAGGTAAATCTCTTTGGAGATTATCTCAGCATTTATGGATGCATTGATTAAATGTGTGATGACTTTGAGCTTGTCATGAATAATCTGAATATCTGAATGATTCATAGCAGCAAAATAAAAATAAAAATTTAATTGCCTGATATGGCATGTTACTTGATCGAAATGTAGTAGTAATGTATAGAAATAATTCAAGGATTTGTTTCCCATAACCAATTTCCAAAAAGCAGCTGACTTTTCCAAATCCAGGATGCTGATTGTTCAAAACCATTCAACAGAGCAACTTTGCTGCAATATATTCAGCTTTCCAGGTGTTTACTAAAGTCCTTTCATGGTCAATATCTGACATATTGGTTAAGAATATTTCATCTGCAAATTCTTCTCAAAAGACTCCACGTCTCCTGGTACATTCATTGATAAAAAATATTGAGTGTCGGGCATGCTGTGGTGGCGTAAGGGATAGCGCGACCCTCGTTTGGAGGCCTTAACTCCTCGACTTCGCCGTTGTGGGTTCGATTCCTGGACCCGATGATATTTGCCGCGTGTCTTGCCCCGCTTCCTGCCAGCCTCCTTTCATTTAAGGGACGCTGGAGCCCACGAAAAACCCCTGGAAGGGAAAATATATATATATTGAGTGTTTCAACTCATGCTCAGAATTATTAAGGTGAAGCTGACTGTAACACTTGAAATGCCACTTAAATTATTTCTTAGCAATTCCAGTGTTGCTGATGTCTCCATCTTATCAGATCTTTGACTCGATCCATGAACCCTGAGAGTTAACCAAGTTGTGCCAGTAATTATTTGGATTTCAAGCTCAGAATTGTCCAATTCCAATTACCAGCCTGCGTTTTTGCACAAAAGCTGCACAACATATTAAATCTTAGGTTAGATTAATATCCTGGTTTTCAGCAACAACATATTTTTATGAAACGTTGAGGCCTCCGCTCCAAATAATTTAGGGTTTTTTTTTCTTGCACTGTTAAAATGGACAAGAACCAAAAGCTTCTACTTTTTATAGAAGCTAAAATCATATCATTTGTGATTTTTAGCTAAAATTCTATCAAATATCGCATTTTTTTACACCTTAATTTCTAAATCTAATTTGTAACCCATATATGTTTTTTTGTTTTGTTTTAAGCAAACGTAAACTTTAAACCAGATTTTCAAACCACAACAATTAAACTCTCTTGGTTTTTATTCTAGTCGGGACTAGCCTGAGATTTTCAAACTATGAAGAGATGTGGGACATTTGTCAATGAAATTCAAAGTATTGATGGAAAGTGACATGCTGACACAAAGCAATTCATGTCTATAGTTGCACTCCTTTTTAATCACCTGTTTGTTTGCTGCATCAGATTGTCAGCGACCTTTTCCCCTCAGGACCTAATGCTATTAGCTGCAGGCAAGCCATGAGTGTCTGGCACACCACCGACTGACAGTGCACCCTCTCATGACAGTCAGCTGTCCCAGCGCCTAGTGACCCGAAGACAAGTCCAAGTGACAAGCTATGACGGAGTCACTTGCTATTGTAAAGATATGTCACATTGGCCAACATTTGCACTTTCCTTGAGAAGGCTATGATACTTGGGAGAAGTTAAATAAAATAAAAAAGAAGAAGAATTGCTGGGTTTCAGATGACACAACATTTGAAACCAATGCAAATGGAGGGCCGGAACTACACACCCGACAGAAACAAGTCGACAGCCATTTAGTGCTTCGACTTAAATGGCTAAATGCTTGACCCAACCTGAAAATAAATTATTGTATTCTCCAGGCCTTTGAAAGCTTTCTTCTAGGTTGTAGAATAATATGAGGTCTACTGCTCCAGTAAGTTACGTGGATCACCTCGATACCGGGTGAATCCTTAAGATTATAAGAAGTCCTTTTTTTTTACCGAGATAATACGAATCGTATTCTAAATATGCACATATTTTTTCGAGATGCCTTGTCTGTTCCAGCCTGTTTAGGACATCAGCGTACTCCTTGTGATACATTTTTCTTTGTTTTGAAACGGCGAAATCCCCTTCCGGCCCTCCATCTGAATTTCGCGCGTCATCCAGGTTACGTGACTGAAACCCAGCAATATCCCCAATATCCCAAGTGTCATCTGCAAGTTATGTAATTTCATAGACTAGCAACAAAACATTTGTAAAAGATTGACTTCCAGTACTGGCTTAGATGGGCTTATGTGGTATGGTACAATCTGGCATTTGTTGCAAAAACAAAAACATAAATCAGTGATGGTAATTTTATGCAGGTGGATAAGCGAGTTTCATTATTATTATTGAAAAATTCTTCATAAATTAAATTTACTTCGAACACAGGCAACTGTCAAATGTCTGTTTCACTGACTAGTAACTTCAAACATTTTAGTTACAGTAGCTTCCTGATTTTCTATACATTTCTTTTTTGAGGTTCACATTTTCATAAATGTTCTTTTTTTTCCACTGAAAGTAACAATAAACTTTAAAAAACAATCTAACCAAACAACCTGACATATAATTTACTTGATAGATTTTAAACTATGTATTTATTGTTTATGTAGATAATTAACTTTTGTTTCTGCTTTTCTTTCAGAAAATTAACAAATTGACATAGTATTACTACCGTAAATGTTCCTCTATTTGGGTTTCTCCCCTTTGAACATTTTCTAACACACTTGATGGTTACGTCCTGTTGAAACGTAACATTGCAACTCAACAAGCGGCCTAGTATGCATGCTGCACACCAGTGTTCAGATCAAAATAATAATAGAAAAAAAAAGTCCTTGGGAAAATGTTGATGCTGCCAAATATCTGTCTTCTCTGTATCATTGTAAATCACCCAGAGTAATAACATCTGGCAAATTTATGCATAACTGACACGGAAAAAGAACAACCTGTGTTTAAGGATGTAGACTGTGCTGAGAGCCCATGTTTTAGCCTGCATCCTGAGCCAGGAAGGATCAATGTCTGGCTGAGTGAAAGGTCAAGGTAGAATCCTGCAGGTCAGAAATAGGATGCCGCCTAGAACAATGTGAGTCCATGGAACATTTGGAAATTTTGGAAGTGACTGGTTTATTTCTAAAGTAGATGGTTGCACAGAATCTGCCAGAGCCCTCTGGGAAGTGATGTGTTATGGGTGGCCTTGTCAGAAAGTGGCACAAACAAAATAAAGTAAAAATTATTACACATTTGTATTTTAATCTGTCCTTATTGGCAATTAGCATTGATAATCAAACATCAGTTTGATTATCCTCAAGAACCCAGATTCTTACCTTAACTCTTAGATATACAAAAGGCAACTTTAACCCTGTTCCTATCTGACTGAGGTTGAAAGCTCAAAAGAATAAAATTGAGCATCTCTCTGTAATATGTTCAGCTTTTTTGTCCTCTGCTGCAGCCTGCTCAACTTCACAAGGCAAAATGACCACTACTCCTAGAGTTACCCTACCAAAATCTAGGACCGCACGGTACTTTTGTTGTCTCAAAAGTACCGTTGCCTCATTGCAGCTTTTGTGATTCACTCAGGTTTTTTTTTTTCTTAAACACTTCAGTTATACTGTAAATACAAAATCCAACATTAATTCTTTTTGCCACAAGAACAACTTCTTCCTCACCTAAAAGTGTTGTTGACAAGATTTAGCACTTCAGTATGAAGCATTTACTATCAGAAAATTTAATTTTTACTTTCCGTCTTGCAGCTCACGTGTTGGGGACATCAGACTGAAATTTGTCCTACTAATATTTCTGCATCTCTAAAAAATGCACAGCTTTTATCACAACTTAGTATTATTAAACAGGGATATTTTACAATTTGGAGCCTGTTTAATAAATATGCAATAAATTTTCAGGGTTGCCAGTCAAATCTAACTGTAATGTGCCTCAATGGAAGTCTCACTCAGATGCTCTTTTGGCTATGAGGATTTTTTTTTTGTATTTTCTTCAAAGGTTTTCAAGTTTGATCCTAAATGATCAAAATCATCTGGCAGATAATCACAAAAGCAGAGGAAGTAGATGATCCTGTACTGAAATTGATTCTGAAAAGGTCATGCTCTGTTGGAAAGCCAAGCAGAATGACAGTAATTCGTCCCAGCTGTACACACACTTTGTATGAACTGGATCTTCATAAAGGCACCTGCTGTACAAAGTGCATGTGAGTAGCACAGAACTGGAAAAGTGTGATCACTAGTTGTGCTCCTCCTTTTCTTATGTCAGTTTGAAGGCAAATTTAACAACTTGTGGACTAATTGTACTTTGGTACCTTTAGCTAACTTCAAATCTGCTTTTTTGGGGGTACAGGGGGACATAGGCGTGGATTCATTTTCTTGCATCAGAACAAATATATCCAAGTCAATCTGCAGTTAAAATTTCTCTGCACTATATCTTCGCTGATAGATTCCCCTTCATGCTAAAAACCTTAAAACTGTCTTCAAGGTGGCTTCTGTCTCTTGACGCCATGTTGGCCTGAAAAGGTTTTATTCTACCTGTCTTATTTCTAACCTAACACCCATCCTTTGTTCCCTGCTTCTCCTTATTGTTGGATTAGCCTCTTGCCAAATTAGGCTGCATTATTGAAGAATTCTCAGTCGGAGCGGATTAGTTGTTGTATAGGGTGCTTTGTTGTTGGTATGCAGTTTGTTTGTTGCCACCGATTATTCCTGCTTATGACGAGAAATTTCAAATATGTTTCAAAAGAAGAATCCTGAAAGCTAAATTTAGTTTGCTTTATTCTCAGGAAGAACACTCAGGAAGAAGGAAGAAGCCGATTTATTTGTTTGGTGTTGAGATACTTTCAGGCAGAAGCAGGGAGATCAGATGAACTGGGTCAATTGTCACTGTGGGATAAATGACTCTTTTTCACAGAAATTGTACCCACCACTTTGGAACACCTATTCTATTGCTTGTTAACACTGAGCCAATCATATAGGAGTAATTTAATAGATTTATGTATCTAGGTATGATGTATGCAACTCACTGAAATTTATGAGGAGCATCGGTAGGAAAAGGTAACTAGATTTTAGCTAGTTTAAACATGCCATGGTTGTTAGTGCAAATTTGGTGTGACTATTTCCGAAAATCCTGCCCTAAGACCGAGTTTATAAAGTATGCCATGCACAACCATCGCTCGGGTTTCTAGGTAATGCTCTGACAGAGAAAATATGTTGTGAGTCACAGTTGTGTCCCGAAAGAGAACGGACCGACATGGTTTGAGATGATGCCTAGCTATTACAACCAAGGTATACCGAATAAAATCGGAACGCACGAGACATCGAAGCTGGAAGCAGATGGACTACAGCAGCAGAAGACCACAGTGAGCGGCCCTCCTGTGATCTAAGAACAGGAAACTGAAACTAAAAAGGTGAACAATAACGTGAAAGCAAAAATGTGTCCAGGCTGTTGTTGGTCTGGCTTTGCCCAGCAAAATAAAACGGAGTCGAAGTGACTTCAAAAAGCTGTCTTCTCTACTCTATTGGCCTCTGCATTCACCAGGGGTGAATAGTGGAGCTCTTGGTATGTGGTTGACTGTGACATTCTCATCAAAGATGTGCAGCTGGTAAAATCCGTAACAAATGCGTAAAGCATTCATGTTGATTTGAACCAAATATGTGATGAATTTTTCTGGCGTAGTGAACCGTTCACCACGAGTTCTAGCAATGTGCACCCAATGAGATTGCTGGTGAATGTATATCATGAGGTTTTTTTATATAATCTAATATTACCACCATGTGGGCTTTATTCTTCACATTTATGTTGAAGTATCTTATCTTACCTAGGAGAGCAAGTCTTTATTTTTTGCTGTTATTACCCTCTGGATAAATATGTAAACCCTGTTTTGCATGAACTCCTTTTAGGCACCAGTTTAGAAATGTTATCACATTGCAACATTACTTCCTCTTTCAATTTGCCCAGCATGTTTGTTTGTAGACTACATGTGGTTCCTTACAGGTGTGGTGAGGAATATTTGTCCCCACAAATAAAAATTGTGGGGACGAATCAAACTGCAAAAATCAAAGTAACATGTTAACAATGTTACAATGCATAAATAGTAAATAGTAAAACAATATAAAGTTGGCTATTAGTCCTGTGTAGTCAGTTGGTTGTTGGGGATTAAAAGCCTCTTCTGCAATCATTCTGTAACTTTAAAAGTCTTGACAACTATATTACGCTGGTAATTAATTTTAGCAGACCCTGGTGTTTGACGTGTTTGAGATTTGCCAGACAACAGACAGATTGCTGGTTTAACCTAAATTTGAATGAATGCAACATCAGCTAATGACCTTTACTCTCTGCAGTAGGGGGCAGGGTGGAGTATTTCTCACTGGTTTTAACCCATCTGTCTCCCTAAGTCCCACTAATCCAAGTAAAGGGGAACTATGCCTTTTGAGCACTGGAACCCCATTTTCTTTGTTTGAGTAATCTTTATGCAAGACAAAACAGTTCATGTTTTTAGCTTTTGCCTCCCCTTTTCTTGTTTCCGTCTCCCCTGTCTTGTGATTTACATCTTACTTCAATGCCTGAGCAAAACTGAATGGTTAAAAACGGGTAGATGTCTTGAGCCGCAGATGTTCTGACAGATTATTTGAGGTACATGTTCTGTCTTCAAACTCGTGCAGAAAAGACTAAGGTCCTTTTGTTTCTCTTGTGCAGATCTGCGTCCTCCTGTTTACGTGCCTTTACATGGTGTGCTACCTCATCCTCACACACTTCAAAAAGACTGCCGAGTTTATCACAGGTGAGTTCAACAGTTTCTGGATGCGAGTGTGTGTTTAAGAGAGCTCTGCGAGTTGGCTTTCAGTCAACAGTTTAGTGAGAATTGCCTTGAGGAAAACGAACAATGTTGACAAGCACACTGATTACAGTGGCGTTTTGGAATTTCTTTCCACTGAGTGTGTTGGCACAAATCCTATTCAGAAACTCGCTGTTTGACTCAAGAGTCTGATTTGTTTTTCTTTTCTGCTTTTCTAGTTTATTGTTTTGTTCATTGCCCTTTTCTTTCTTTGCATGTGTACACATTCAACAAAGTTTCCCCGTTTCTTTTAGGACCTTTACTAACCTCACACTCTGAACTTTGATTTGAAAAGCCTGGAGACATTGTTGAGGAGACGTTCGTGGGGTGTACACCAAGCTCTTTAAAAAGGCAGAGAAGTTTAAAAAAAAATGCTACAAGATAAAGTTGAAACCTTGAACTCGTACCAACGTTCTAGCAGGGACAAATGATTGTCACCATGAGGCTAAGAACTGCGAGATGGCAGTACGTGCGTCAGGCATATTTGGAAGCTCTCTTGTGCTGTGTTGAGCTGATTAACATTCGCTCAGTCCAATGAAATGTGAGTCCATTGGAAGCAGATGTGGATTTTTCTTCAGTTCTCCGCTCTGGCTGGGCTGCACCCTTGTAGATGGTCATTTCTTCTGCACATTTTTATTCCCGTTGTTCCTTCTGCTGAAGTTTCTGCATCAACAACAAGAGCACAGGTCTGCCCTGCAGCTATGTGACAGTTGTGCAATCCCACAATACAGAGAATTTTATAACATCCGGAACTGGTTCTTGTTCCTTGGGTTTTACTTTGTAATAGAACTTCTGTGACAGCACTGCCAAAAGGACATATCACATGCCTGACTAATAGTAACACTTCATTTGTTTCAGATGCAAAATGAAAGGTGTTGGTTTTTTGTTTTTTTCTGGTAGCTTTTTATAGTTGTTGCCAAATGTTTTAGGTTGACAGAATTTTGTTTTTTACAAATTGTGTTGCTTCGATGTTATAAAACGTTTTCCTCAGGTGTTTCCATGGTTTTCTGATATTCAGTAAGAAGCATTTCTATTTCAGAGGTTTGGTGAGATAAACACTTACTGGCCACTTTATTAAGTACACTTTGCTAGAATCAAGTTGTGTTCCCTTCTGCCTCCAGAACCGGCTTGATCGTTTGTAGTGCAGATAAAAGGGGGGGGGAAAGTATGTCTGCAGTTTCTGAAATACTCAGACCACTGCATATTCTCAAAGTCACTTAAGTCTCTTGTTTGCTCCATTCTGGTTCTAAATTTGAAATATGATTAGTTAATTTTGCGGGGAGGGGAGGTTTGTTTTTGTTTTTTTAGCAATCACTTGGTAATGAGGCTGGTGAGTGTGCATCAAATTCATGTCAACCTTTTGTTTTCTAGATGACCTCAGAGTCTTGATGGGATTTGGCTTGGGGTTTTTTCTTTCTTGGCTCCGAGTCTGGAACTTGGAGTTTTGATCCCAGTCACTCGGTTTTCACTTTCACCTTTGAACTTTTTGGATTCATCCTGAATTGTTTGGTAAAGTGACTCCTAAAGGGTTGAGTCACAACTTGTTTCAGGATTCCTTACTGTCTGGAGGGTAATGCTCATGGGAGCATTCACCATTTCGTTCCTCTGGATTTTTTTTCCCCAACAACCTGAAAAAGGTTGCCTGGTTCATCTAGGAACGTTTTCTTCGGGAAAAAATAACTTTATATTCTAATGTTTTCAATACATTCCTACTAAACATTGGAATGTACAAAGCGTACATTCCAATGTTTAGTAGGAATGCTTCCTACTAATTGTAGGAAGCATTATATTTAGTAATGCTTCCTTCTAAATGTCTGTCACTTTGTGATGGTTTTCTCTGAAAGAAGTAGCTTTCTTTTTCTCTTTGCTTTTGTTTCTTTGTTCCCGTTGACGATCTATAAGTCACACCTGCCTGCTGCCATTCCACAGCAAACTCTGCACTAGTGGAGTTAAATGTCAGCCTGGGCTGCTCCTTATTAAATTGCAGGCAGTTGAACGTCTCTCCTTAAAGTCTTTAATGATTCTTCAAATGGCTTAATCGAGTCAATTGTAGCATCAGAAATATTCTTGCATGTGAAATCTTTGTTAAATGAGGACATCATATGCTAGAACCACTCTGTTTTTATGTCTGTTTCTATCCTCATTAAATTATCTTTGAGCTACAATAAAAGCATTTGAAATGTCATTTTGTAGAAGGTCTAAAACACAGCAAATGTTTTTTGTGTGTATGAGATCAAGTTAATTTTCAGTATTTTGGACATTGGATCTTTTCGGTTTTACCTCCTAAACTGTGGAACGAGCTGCCTGATCATATTTGACAGGGTTCAACTCTTGGATTTTATTAAGTCACTTCTTAAAACACATTTGTACTCTCTGGGTTTTAAAACGGTGTGAGAGATTTGTGTGCTTGTGCTTTTCTTCCTGTTGTTTGTGTGTCTGCAGCATTTTGGCCAAAATGTAAGAAAATTTGATTTTATTTACTGTTAATCACTCTTCACAGCAATCAAGACTCAATTCCAATTGAAGACTGAAGCTGTACAACTCTTAAAAGATGAGGTCTCTCTAATCCGTGTTAAACATTTTGGATGTGACCAAACCTTGGTTCTTTTTGCATCCTTTGGTTTAACGGGAGTCTTGGTCCAGAATGAACAAAATGTTCCAAACAGGCCTGACCCCTGGTCACACCCTCTCTGAGCTCAGGGAGAGGTTTGCTTTCTTCAGCATTTTGTGTGTAGCACATGCTCGCATACTGCTTCAGGAATGTTTTAGCCCATCATATAAAGTGTTTGAAAACTTCTTGTTGTGTTTTTTTTTTTTTTCTTTTTTTTCTCTTAACTCCTAGTTCCTAGTTTCAAAAAGTCATATCGGAGTGCAGGGGGAAAAAAAGTTAAGTTTTGAAAAAACCCAACTTGTTTTTTCTTCTTTCTTTCAGATGATATCGAAGATGCTACAGTTAACAAAATTGCGTAAGTGCAAACTTCTAATGATTAACTGGCTGTGACTTTGGATAATTGTACAGATAGCAGTGATTGGGGCATGATTGGCGACCAGAGGTCTTTCTTTTGATTCATCGCCTTGTTACATGGTCACCTACATGTTTATTGCTTTTGGCAGTGAAAATCCAACATCGTCGTCACTCTGTACTCTGCACCTTCGTTTTGGATTCTTATATTTGTGTTCAGTTTGGCTTGACGGAGACTGATCTTGCTGAGGCGAAACACAGACTCTCATGACTTATCTCACTGTTCCACCTCCCAGGCTCTGGCTGTGCACGTTCACCCTTTCTGTCGCAGTGTGCGCCGTGCTGCTTCTGCCCATCTCCATTCTGTCAAACGAGGTTCTGCTCACCTTCCCACACAGCTACTACATGCAGTGGCTCAATGGCTCTCTTATCCACGGTACGTCTCACTGTTTTTGTTCGTCCGTCCGGTTGAAAATAATTAAGAACGGTCGGGCGTCACAGCGCTACAGGATCAGCAATAACATCCACATCAATACTCGACTGGCCTGTGGCCCAGCAGATAATTAGCAATGCACACTGTTAGCTCGAAGCTGTTCAGTCCACCCTGAGCTGCTGTGTGAAGTCAATCTGAGCTGTGTGTTTTCTGCTTTTTGCTTTGTTGAAATTCTGTTTTAAATATTTCATGTCGTCAGTGGAAGGGAGCCTATATCCACTCTTTCAGTCTGATGCCACATAGTGGTTGGTGGAGGGAACTACTAAAATGTTTCATTACAGTCGTAATTACTAATGAAAGATAACACGCACACACAAAATCTTTAACAATGATCTGTTTCTCTCTTGTCAGGGTTATGGAACCTAGTGTTTTTGTTCTCCAACCTGTCCCTCGTCTTCCTCATGCCTTTTGCATATTTCTTCACTGAGTCTGAGGGGTTCGCTGGATCCAAAAAGGTAGTTTATTTTTTGACCTTCTATTTTTCCTGTTGACCTTCCCTCTTTCCTCAGTTGTCTTTATTTCTTTCTTGTGTCTTACCTTATTTACTAAGACTGTGTAATTTTTTTTAAAAAAACCTTAAATGTCTAAGATCCCATTAGAAACCTGATTTCAAAATGAGCTTCTCTCAAACTGATCACCAAACAACTCGTGTTTCTGTGTAGGGAGTGATGGCGCGAGTGTATGAAGCTGTTGTGCTGCTGATCTTGCTCGCTCTCCTTGTGCTGGGTATTGTGTGGGTGGCGTCAGCTCTCCTCCATGACAACGTTGCCCGACAGAGCCTCTACGGTGAGTCACTCTCATCATACCCTTATACTCCTCCTGGGCGTCACTCGAAGTGTCGCTAATTGTTATTCCCCCCCTCTTCCAATTGCAGACCTGTGGGAGTATTACCTGCCATACCTGTACTCTGGGATTTCTCTGTTTGGAGTGCTGCTGCTTCTGCGTTAGTATACGTTGAGCTCAAACGCCTGGTCATGTTGAAACAGAGTGGTCTCTCCTGTGTGCTAGTTTGTGTCTTCCCTTTTCAGTGTGCACCCCGTTTGGCTTGTCTCGAATGTTCAGTGTTACGGGTAGCCTGCTTGTGAAACCTCGGGTAAGTTGAGCCTCTCCACAAAACTCAAAACCCACATCACATACCTGGTTATTGCACATCTGTCAGGTCTTTAAAAACCTCTTTTGCTCTCTGTAGAGAACAAAGTATACATGAAGCAGCGTCTACAGCATGCATTATTTGTTAACTTGTGCTTAACTGAAGCTCTTAAGCGCAATGTTTTCTAATCAGGAAGTGCTGCTTACCATCTCCAGTTTTCAGAAATGTTTGATACAAATTAAAACTACGACCTCATTTCATTTTGTTTTTCTTTATATTTCTCTACTTTAAATGTTATTGCACATCTATTCAGTGTTATTTCAGAAAATTACATGAACAGATTCTGATGTTCCTCCCTAATTGATCCATGTTGTGTGTCAGCTTCTGGAGGACATAGAAGACACTCTGAGCTGTGCCGTTTTTGAAGAAGATTCGCTCTTCAGGAAGCTGAATTGTAAGTGACTTGACTGTGATCACTACCCTCCTTCATTTCCCCCGTGGCTTGACTCTTAAAAGGTTATTTTCTCCTTCTTGCATATGTGAAGGTGGCAGTCCATCGTGTTGGGTCAAGTTGAACATGGAGGCTATGAGAAAAGAGTACCTTGCAGTTCAGAGCAGGCGTGTCGCCCTGGGTGAGGCTGACAAAGCTTTCCGTCTGCAGGGTTTCTCCCGCAGCATCAACATCACACTTTGTTTTTTTATTTGTTTTGATTTTTTTTTTTTTTGTCCTTTTTGTTTTCCCCAAAGAGATGCGGAGGAAGGCTTCACCATGGCAACGAAACTTGGGCTATCCTCTGGCGATGCTTATCCTGCTTGCACTGACTGTATGTACAAAGAACATCGCTACATTCACGAGTTCTACAGTCACTCCTCGTTTTGTGACCTCTTCATGACGGGTCGCTGTGTGTGTGTCTCCAGGTGATGTGTGTGCTGATGGTCTGTTTCAATGTGCTGGAGCTGCTGCTGGATGAGACAGCCATGCCCAGAGGAATGGAGGTCAGGGTCCTCCTTTGAAGGCACCAGGAACATTTCCTGTTTGGTTGGAAACGGACAGTCGGCGGCTTATATTGAGGATTTTTATGTTTTTTGCTAGGACCCTCACCTGGGAATGGCCTCCTTTTCCATGTTCGGCTCTCTGGGCGCTGCAGTGCAGGTGGTCCTCATCCTGTATCCTTTCAACACAAAGAGCGATCTGTGGTGTGCTCAGCTTCGTAGTGATTTTTCTCGTAACACATTGAAAAGAAAAGAAACAGGTCAATTGTTATCGTTTTGATGGTAGGGCTCCAAATAATGATTAATTTTTCAATCAATTATTTTATTGATTATTCTAATCAGATCTTCAAATGCAGATTTTTTTGCAGATTATGAACCAGTGAATCTAAAAATGCCACCCAAGAAATTCTGGGTGGAACAGAAGGTTATTCATATGCAAAATATGTAAAATATATATATTCTTTGTACAGTTTTGGCTTAATTGTTGCTCTGTGTTGTTTCAGTAAATGCCCATTTTGCAGTCTGTATACCCCAGTTAACGATTATTTGATTCCTAAATTAGTTGACAGTTTATCTCTATTAACTTAATTAATCATTTCAGTCCTAAATGATTAAATTGTTGCCACAAACTGATTTTTGTTTGTTTGTTTGTTTGTTTGTTTTAACAGTAGATGCATGCATTAAGATTTACTCTTGAATCAACACATTGAGAAGCAGTCGCCAGGTTTTCCACACGTTTCCACTGTAGTCCTTAAAGTGAATTGCAGCTACCTGATGGTGTCCTCAGTTGTGGGTTTTTACAGCTCTCCTCTCTTCTGTGGCCTCCTCCCTCGCATGAAAGACACTAACCTCACACGGGTAAACTGCTTTATGTGTCTGAATTTAACTGGGAAACTGAAGTTGTTTTTCTGTTGACTGGATGTCACCTCTGAAAATTTATACTCCTTTCAGATGATTGCAAACTGTGTTTCGCTGCTAATACTGAGCTCTGCACTGCCTGTGTTTTCGCGCACACTTGGTAAGAACATGCATATATACAAATATACATTTTGAATGAAACTCTTGATGTTTGAATGTGCGGTTAATGTTGTGGCTCTGAAGCATTTTGTCTGAGTCCTCCTTTTGAGGAAAAAATGGGTTAAAGTGAATGTGTCGCCTTGTCCTGTTACCATGGAAATACTGATTGCTTGGATGTGTAACTCGCATTAGGGTAGCAACATTGGAAGACAATATTTTATTCTCATGCAAGCAGATGATAGGGAGCCTTATATCAGCAATGTTTGGTGTAGTTCTCCATTTTTACACGTTTCGGTGTGAATGTTGTGAGAACTGCAGAGATAGGAAATCCGAGGTGCATATGGAGCTGAACCTGATATCTGTGTATAAAATATGCATAACCTTTTGTTATTTTTTGACATGAAGACTGACTGTGTATGTCATGTTTTAGTTCAGGTAGTATTGCCATAGCCCCTCTCCCCTTTTTAGGCAATTCTTTGAAGAAATTGCAAAAAAAATAATCAATTTACTTGCAGTTTTAACAATGGCCACAAGAGTGCACATGTATTTCATGATTCCTAGCACTGAAGCCAAGCCTGTTGCTGCAACGTTTTGTTTTGTTTTGTTTTTTTTCTCAACCTCTGCTCCTTTTCTGTAGGGATCACCCGTTTCGATTTGCTGGGAGACTTCGGTCGATATAACTGGCTGGAGAACTTCTACGTGGTCTTCCTGTACAACATGCTGTTTGCTGGTCTCACCTCCGCCTCTCTTACAAAGACAGTCACCTGGGCGGTGCGGAAGGAGCTCATCCGTGCCTTTGGTTAGTCTGTGTCTGCTTTAGATCCCTACATACAGTGGTTAATTATCCCTGGTTAATTATCTCCTTGCTTTGCTATCTGTCAGCTCAGGTTGAGGATCATGTCTCGGTAGATTGGCAGGTGGCATCCAAATTTCTTACAATTTTGGATGATTGATCAAAGGATGCTTTGAGTCATTTTCAAATGATTTTCAGGTATCAGGGCCGCCGAGTGCAACTGCATACCAACCTTTTTAGATTATTATTTGTAATATAGAAGAAAACGATTGATCAGTTTACATCAGCTTCATAATTTTGCATACAATCCCAATGAGGTTATGTGTCAAAATGTGGGAAAAAGCAGTCAAAGCAGTTTTGCAAAGCTCTGACTTTGCATCTGTTTTATCATCTATTTTGTGGGGAGGAGGGGTCTGTACTCCACTCTGCTTGCTGCACTTTAATAGCTACACCATAAGCTCCCCACCTTTGGCCCCGTTTCCCGATGGGCTGGTCTCTCTTCCTCAGATAGAAAGAATACAATTCTTTCAGGAAATTGTAAAGGGACAAGAGGAGAGTCAGGTCCATTGGGGACCTTCAGGCACACCGCCCTAGACCTTTTGCATTATACGCACACAGACACACACACACACACACACCCTCGAAATCTCCACCCAACACAAACAAGCAGTTGGAGCTTGGGCACGTCAAATCTACACACGCGATCCCCTTCCTCGCTGAGAAGATAGCATCTCAGCAGCACAGCAGCTCTGCTGCAGTTTTCCATTGCCTCCCGAATTACTTTTGTTCTGCAAATTCTAGGTTTTAAGTTTGCTCAGCTTTGCTAATTTTATCCTGCTTTAATACGAGTGGCCATTCTTTTTCTTTTTCTCGCAGGACTCGACAGGTTGCCAATGACTGTGTCACGGACTACCATTCCTCTTAAACTCCTCCTGGCCAATGGGCTGTCTAAAATCCAGTGACCCTTTCTGTTTTGTGTTTTTTTTAAACACTCCTAAGCACTGTCTGGTCTTAACTTTAAAGGCCGAACCGCATTGTGAACCAGTGATTCAAGCCTCCTCCTTGCCGTTAGACGGCAGAGCCTTCCCTCTTTAAAAGGACCGGCAAAGACGAGCCTCTCCGCTCTTCAGCCAGCGGGGACACAGCGTGTTGGTGTGTTTTCACGACTGACGCATCCTGATCAAGAACTGTGCTGCAAGTTGAGCAATCAGTCCAAGTCATCATAGAAAAGCCTGCGTTGGACGGCGAAGAAAGGATGGAAGCCGTACTGGGAGTTCTGCATTTCTGAACAATAAAGTCAGCAGTATTTTTTTTTTTTTTTTTTTTTTTGTGAAGCGTAGCTGTGTCATGAATCCATCTGTCCCCTTCAGGGTGTTCTTGGTACTCCAGTCAATTCTTTGCACGTTACACAACTTTTGTGAGATTGGAACTCTTCTTTTGTGTGGGTCTGGTTTTCTAACAGGGTTTTTACTGTAAATAAGTAAAAGGTTGTTCTGTTGGTGGAAAAAAAGACTTTGTTGTTGTATGTATGTTAACCTAGAGGTTACACAGGGAATTTTTGTGTGTGTGTTGCTGCTTTTCCAGGCAAATGGGAGCATTTTGTGAGTGTGGCCAGAACTGTACTTTTTTTGTTGTTTTTTTGTTTGTTTGTTTGTTTTTCGGAAGAAAAAAACAAGAAGCGTGTCTTAAACTTTGTACTGTTAATGTAAACTATTCTAGTGAGGAATTGCTGCCTTTACCAATCAAACTGTGAATTATTAAGAATCTGTGTGGGATTGTGCAATATTTTATACATAAAAGCACACTTTGAAACTTTACCAAAAATAATTTTAGAACCTTTTTGTTTTGTTGTTGTTGTTGTTCTTTTATGTTAGGATTTGTAGAATCCTCTTTTTTAAAAGTGTTTTTTAATAAAGAAGCCAAATATGACCCTCAGGGCTTTCGTTGTTTACCAGGATGGCCTGGTGCAAAAACTCCATAATCTCAGCATTATGTCATCATCTGCTGCGCGTTGGTGATCCTGGATCGCTGCTGCCGCGCCTGCATCATCGGCATCTTGTTCTCTGTTGGTTTGACCAGCAGGGGGCAGTGCATCTCAAACGCAAAAAAACAAGTTTTTCGTTGGAGCTCGTCCTCTTCCACGTGTCCCCAGCGTTATGCACACGAGTCACCACGTTTACCCACTGATGTTGTTCAGGGAACGCTTATCCTTGCTTCTGAAACAAGGTGTCTAATGTTCTCTTTTTATGGGAATTTGGGTTTTATACGTCACGTTTTAGTCATTGCTCCATAGCTGTTAGGTGATGTATGAGTAAATATTTAAAGTAATACTGCAACTTAAAAAAAAGAAAAAAGTTATTTTGGAGGCCTCTGGTTTGGCAGTCCATTTTTTTTTCATGTTTTACAGTGTTATGAGCGTAAAGCAATAATTAAAAAAAAGAAAACCTTTTGACTTTTTATCTTTTTTGTGTCCCTTTTGGAAACACATCAATATGCCTTTTTTTTCTGTAAGCCATGCCTTTGATGCCGTTACATTTTATGAAGTGTATCAACACTGTGAGCAATCTTCTGCTGCTCGTAATGTGTGTGTGTGCCCTCCACCCTTTTGTTGCACTTCTTTAATCAGCAGCAGAAGAAAGCCATATTTTGGCCCCGTCTGTCAGCAATGTCCACCCACGACGCCGCCGTGGCCCACGCTTTCCCCACTCTGATGCAAGCGCCAGATAAAAAAAAACCCTTCAAATCAAGAGAGGGGACATTCACTTGCATTAACTCTTCGTCATCCTCCTCCTTCTTTCCTCCTTTCCTCTTCCTTGCCTTTTGTTCATTTCCCGTCCTCCCGTTTCTTTTCTTGAAGTCTGTTCAAGTCGAGCAAACCCAAAGTCTGATTAATTTCTCCCTCCTTTCTCTTCTCTTTGTGTGCGCTTGTTTTCTTTTGTTGGGCGCTTTGATTAAGCTTATTTGTTTTTTGCAATTCTGCTTCCTCTCGGCTTTGAATGAACCGAAATGTCGCTGTAACATCAGCGCTGCATCTGGAGGCCGGTGACCTTGTGACACGTAGGACAGATCAAAGGTGCGACCTTTGCCAGAGTCTAGGAGGAAAGGAGACAGGCTGGCGTATTGAACAAAAGATGTTGACGGGTTCATTTTTAAAAAAGGGGGGAAAAAAAACACTCAAAGAAATCTAGTTTATAGACTAAATGAAAACGATGCTTGTCAATAAATCAGAGTGCCCAACAGAGAGCTCATTTATTTCCAAAGTTGCAGCTGTGAAAAATCATGCAGATCCATTACACTGATGTATTTTGTTTTTAATATTTGCACACGGGTAATCAAAAACCCCCCCAAATTTTGCTTCTTGGAAAATCAAGCCCAATTACATTTCTTCAAATTCAGAAATGGTGCAACCAGACAGTGATTTTCACCCTGCCAGGAGGAGAACTGCCGCAAGTTTATTGTTGAAGAAGCTGGCTGTTTGTGGTGCATCTTGGTGTATCATCAATAATTAAGTGGAAGGAAAAAAATACCGTAGAAATTGGTTCACAAGTTACAACCGCATTAAAGAGTCAAGGTGCTTCAAGTGCCACAACAAAGGCACATTCAGATGGAGGTGAGCTGAAGCTCGACCTGACCAGTGTCTGAAACATCTTGCTGTTGCTGTTGCTCGGTGGCCCCAAGTCCTCATTGCTGAAAAGACGTGTGTAAAGAGCCAAACGCAGACAGGCTGCTTGTCTGAGTAAATCTGTTGAGTTTTGCTACAGGCAGCAGAAATGTTGCATCATGTATGCCATTGGTGTTTTGACCCATCTTTCCATTCAGTAAACAAATGCGGCATCTTATTTTTTATTTATTTTTTTTTGTTTAGCTCAGTTTGTACAATTCCCATTTCCACGGCATTCGGCTCAATTTACCACATATCGCATCAAACTTCAAAATTATAAAATAAAAGCTTGCAGACGGATGTTTTCATCATTTGGGAACCGGGAATGCTGACTGTTGCAGCTTTTCAAACAGAATCTGGATGTTTATTAATATTTCAGCCTCCCTGGAACTTTGTGGTCATCGTTTGACTCTCCTTGTCATGGTACGCCGTACGTTTTGTGAAAGAAGCAGATCTGAACTGCGGGAAGGCCAGTCGGGCACTCATGCGATCTGTTGCTATGACTGCATTGCATCAATGTCAAAATTTGCATTGTGCACAGTAGCCCGACTGGAGACGATTTAGCACCCTCTGTCTGCCTGACAGAATCTGTTTTATTTTATTTTTTCTTTAACTTTGCCTGATTTTCTGATCATTTAACAAAACATAACCTAATTTAATAGAGATTAACCTAAACAGCTGGATTGTCAGGCATGGATTAAACTCTAAGCTCATGGCAATTTTGAAATCAGTGAACATTTTTTAAAGTAAAGAAAAATAAATAAACAATACTTAATAAAAGGCCTCATCATACAGATGTGTTGTGGCTTTAGTGAAAAGGATGTGAATTATTATTTTTATAATAATCATTATAATGATAAAATTGCATGCAGCAGGTGTGAACTCACAGAGACTCAATGCTGAAACTGAATTGGAACGTGTCTCAAGATTTAAACACATATGTGTGACCAGGTTATTGCACGTTTTCACATTCATATGTTCTTATTTTTCTTCTTCAACTTTATACTAAATGATTGGCTAAAAATAGTCAAAGTTTGAAAGTTATTTATAATGGTCTCATTTTTTTTTTTTTTTTTTTTTTTTTTTTATTTCTAAAATCTCAACAAAGGAAGAGGCCATTTTAATTTAGAAATGATCCCAGAATTGAAATGAGATTCATTCTTCCAAAAGCAGGTGAGTGATTGCAGTGGAGTAAAACTCACTGTTTTTATGTGGTTTTAAATACTATGTGATAGAGGTCCATTTCTCTTAGGCACTCTTCAAAATGAGAAACACAAGAGAGCATCTTAGTGAAGCATATGTGTGCTTATCTTCACCGGTATTCAAAAGGCTCAGAGAAAAACATTTCAGGCCAAAAACCTTGGTCAGACAAAACTTGGGCACAGCATATACAACCTAACACAAATCAAAACCTTGCATGTACAACGAGCGGGGCGCGCAACATGAAGGTTACACACAGTTCAGTGGAAGCGTCCCAGCAGTCCCACTGGGTAACACACTCCACAGGACTAGATTTCAGGCATATCGGGAACAAGGCGGGAAACTGGCAGCTTGTAATGGGATGAGATAGGCTATCTTTATTGTCAAAACATGGGAATGAAGGGGGGGAAAAGAGGCTCAGATTAGCCTTCCTGACAGTCGCCCGTTTGATGTTTGTGCCAGAGTGCATTAGGCACTGTTGTTCCCTCTTTTCTGCACATGCTAACACAAAAATCACTCAGGAAAAGGCGAGACTTGCTTGCTAATCAACAGATAATGGGGCCACACTGTCCGTTTGCCGCAGCCGCCCGCCATCCTGTGTGCACGCTCACGGCACACTCGCTTCACACAATCGGACGGCGCAGCGGCGCCTTTGTTTTGTTGGAAACAACTCACTGGCGTGACACAAAGGGTGGGACGGACGATATCGCAATTTACTGTGATTCGTTTCAGTGGAGAACTGAAAGCAAATCGATTTTCTGTGCGGCTTCCACCGATTTAGGATCAGGGTTCACGCAGAGCGGTGTGTTTTATCCAAACTTTGACCTTTCTTGTCTACAGACAGGAAGTTCCAGCCCTTATATTTCATTCTGCATGTCTGTGCAGCATCATCTTAGCTTCGGCTCACCGGTGCTATTTCTCACCAGAGCTGATGGAAAAAACTAAACAAACTGGAACAGAATGGCAGCAACTGATCATTTGCATAGAAATGTGCATTACCAACACATTACCAGAATTTTTATCGACATTTTACCCAAAGCAAAACCAGAAGCCAAGAATCATCCAGTGCGTACAGCCACTTAAGAATGCACCACCCTGCCTCTTCCTGCACTGATAACATGGTGAGAGACAGTGGAGAGGGTGGTGTGGCTATGGGCTGAGAGCAAGGGTGTGTGTGTGAGAGAGAGAAAGAGAGAGAGAGAGAGAGAGGGTGTGTAGAATATGGCAGCTCCTTGACGTTCCCCCTCCGCAACCCATGAAACGGCCTCCATCAGAGGAAGCCGCTCCTGCAGAGTGTCCATTCAGCTCCCGGAGAAAGACAAACACTTGAAATGTCAAAGCCAGCAGATTTTGCAAATACATTTCTGTTCATTTTCGATGAACACGTCACGAAGGCTGGAAGGTGGAAGCGGCCAGCGGAAGTTCGGGGCAGCAGGGTTTGATTTCCCGCGAGCCGCCGAAAGCGAGTCGTTCAGGTGAACGCGCTTGGAAAGAACAAAGCGGGGAAAGCTAACACAAGCAGGAAAGATCTCGTTTTCTGTGCTGCGGCCGAGCAGGAAACAAATCTATTCACCGAGCCACGCACTCCCATCCTGAAATCTGGGGAGTGAAAAGTTAAGAGCAAGAGAGAGGCAGAGGGAGGGGAGGAGAGGGGGGTACCAAAATAAAAACGCATAATAATAATGACTTTATTTCCATCTCCAGCCCACAGATGTTTGCTTCCTTCCTTTCCCTTTCAAGCCCGATGGAAATCGTTCACCCTTCAAACGGCTTTGAAGAGAAAAGCTGCTGTGGACGATTGTAGATACGAACGTGTTTGTTGCCTTTATTGATTGGGTCATTCTCTGCTCTTGTTGCGGAGGCTGATATCTCTCATCTGCGTCGCTCGGGCCAGACGTGAGGCTTCCTCTGTGCTTACTGTAAGGACAGGAAGATGCAGCCTTGCCTTTTGCCACCCCTCCCCACAACATCCTGGGATCATCTGGAAACTTGTCCCCACAAGGATGCCTTTCCACAATCCCCGTGGAACTCAGTGACCGCTGGAAAGGGAATCAAACAATGTTCTCTGAGTCAGTTATTTTAAGACCTCCATTAGGTATTCGACCCTCATTTTCAGTCATAGTGAAGTGTTAAGAAATATGAAAGACTGCTAAAGAATTTAAACCTTTTCGCATTTTGTCACATTACAACCACGAGCTTTACCTTGAGCTTTTGTGATGTGATATACTAGGAGAAATTAGTGCGTAATTATGATTTTGTGGCATGTATTTACATTGAGTCCCTTTCACTCCGACATTCTACGAATAAAATCAAAAGGAACCAGTTGACGTTAGAAGCAGCCTGCTTGTGTGTACTTTGATCAAACACAGCCGTCCTGTGATGGTTTCAGATGTTTGTACGTCAACATTAATGAATGAACAGAATCATGTGGAGAGTTTTTTGGAAAAGCAGCCAAGAGGCCGATGGTTGCTCTGGAGGAGCTTTAGCGATCCGTGACTCAGATCGGTCTTTTTTATTGAAGCTTGGCAAGATGACAGCTGTTTTTGAGAGACGGCCACATGAAGTTTGTCTCAAGTCGTTTTAGTCTT